GAAGAGGTAGCGCAGGTGCCCAGCTCCTGAGCATCCAGGTGGGCTGGATGGGAGCATCCGCAAATGTTTCCCACAGGCGCCTGCGCCACTTTAGGAAACAGTCCTCCCATTCCCCACTCCACAGCTCTCCTTCCTCACACCTGAATGCCCAGGGCTGCCCAACGGGCCATCGGTTTGGACTGGAGGGGCTATGGCTCTACCCAGTCCCACAAGATCCATGTCTCTACCTGGATGTCCAGCCCTTTCCATGCAGCTCCCCTGCCCATGGCAGTGCCCCCGCTCTCACCCTGGGATGCGGGGCAGGGAGTGCAAGCAGAGCCAGTGTGTGCCCCTTACCGCATCGATCCTCCGGATGAGGATGGGCCTGACCTCCAGCTGCTGCAGCCAGTCAGCCTCCAGGATGCTGTGGTGATACTCCTCCAGCTCCAGGCTCTTCTGCAGCTCATCGGCCAGGGCAGCCTGGTGCCGGCAACCTCCTGTACCCATACCCAGGCTCTGCTGGGGCCGGGCCAGCTCTGTCCCTTTGCCCTGCTGCTGCAGGCGCAGGACACGGATGCGCCGGGCAACGTGACGGACCTGGGCGCGCAGGGCAGCTGCCCATTCCCTGCGGTGCAGCAGGGCCAGCAGCTCCTCCCGGCTCTCCCGCAGCTGGGCTCGCAGCACCCCGGTGTTGCCGCCTGCACCCAAGGGCTGCTGCAATGGGACCAAGAGGTCGGGCAAGCCCAGGGGAGTGCCAGGCTGCTGGGGAGCCCTGCCGTGCACTGGAGGCTGCACAGTGCTGGGAGCCAGCCCTGCTCTGCCCCGCACTGGTGGCTGCTGTGGCAGTGATGGTGATGGTGGCAGGGAGAGTCTGTACCTGCTGCGGTGGAGATGGACCCACCGCCAGGCGAGCTCTGCCATGGCCAAGCTCTGGTGAAAGATGTCGGGGACCAGCCGTAAGACCTTCACAAAGGGCCCCACGCCAACAAAGCCACACAGGTCATGCAGACTCCGGGAGCTGAAGACCCGCTCGCTGAGGGGCCCCCCCTGCAGCAGCAGCCCCCAGTTGCGCCGGTGGGCGAAGAGCTGTGCGGCCAGGCACGGGATGGATGCCGGGGGGGCACGC